ATTTCATATTTTCATGTTATATTATTATATTATATTTCATTCATACCAAATTATCAATATACGCAAGATATTAAATATCTTATTATAAATTGTATCGTTGTAATACCTAGAATAGTTATGATTATGATTTATAATCTATCTATCGCAGACCGCGGTATGCGATATAGGTGAAGGAACGGTAGTGGCGGAGGAACTCTTCCGCACGCGGCACGCGCTTACAAGTCACTGCCGTACTGTCACGCGCGTACAAGTCACTGCCGTACTGTCACGCGCATGAACGATCCAGAACGTGTGGTTTTTTTTTTACTAAAACCATGTATTTTTATTCCCTCATATTGATCGATGTAGTAATATGATAATACTTTTTATAACTGATTTGAATTCGTTATAATGTCTACTTGAGATCGGTCAGTGCACATTTTATGATTTCTGATTTATATTCCGAATAATCAACGTTTGAAAATGCCGAAATTTCAAAATATTCAAACCAAATTTTTAGTTGTTAGGGGGGTGAAATTGGGGAAAATAAACTGACCGATCTCAAAAAGACATAATAACAAATTCAAATCAGTTTAAAACAGTATTATCGCATTACTACATCGATCAGTATGATGGAATAAAAATTGGATGTTTTGGCTAAAATAACTGTCCGCCACCGATCCCCTTAACAACGAATGCATGTGAATCTTTTCATTCGCATTTTTATTCAAGTTTCAATTCCTCTCACCCCAATATATATTTCGTCATTGCGAAATTAAAAGAAATACAAACAGAACGTACATTAAAATCAACAGCCTAGATGCACCATTCCAATTTCAGAATACGAAAACTAAAAAAAAAAGTAACTCTTAGAAAGAACACTTACGAAATATACAAATAAGGAAATATCAGTGAGTGAATACGTTAAACACATGGCTTTTTACTTAAAAAAATTGATTTTGATGGGAGAGTGGTCACCTTCATTTAAAATGTTTGTCAGAATGTATATTTAAAAAAAAATAAATAATAATTGCAATTACATACACATAAAATCCGTACATTTGTAATAAAGTGTCCTACTCGGCCTACTCGGCAAACGAGTGTAGACAGACTGCTAAGACAAAACTACAGACATAATAAAAATGTATAAAAAAAATAATCCTCATCGCACGACGACAACATATACAAAATAATATTATAATAAAAAGTAAATCGAACAATCAAAAAATAGACTGTTCAAAAAATAGACTGTTAATACTGTCGCTGTGGTCTGCACAACGCACGGCGATAACACGGCGATAACACAGAATAATACTCAACATAATAATAATAATAATATTAAAAATCACTACAATTTATACATTATATTTTTACACTTTTTACAATTACAAATTTACATAAATACATTTTACAGTTATATATCGATTTTCATACTATGAGTAATAATACGAAAATGAAAATAATTTTTGCAGGATAATGAGAATCGCCTCCTCGTGGTGTTCTCTGGGTAATGCTAAATGGTTTTTAAAAATATTATAAGAAAATTATATAAAAACATTTTTATCCGGGCCGAGTTTACACCTAAATAATTTTTACCTGAAAAAAACACGGGCCTAGTTTACAATAGACCTTTTAAAAATTTTTTTTCCTCGGGCCAAGTTTACAATCACCCATCCGTGCAGTACAGAAAATACGTATTGGTACGTATAATGATTATAATTGTTAATTACTTTATTAAATCACAGAATTTTTGAAAATCCTTCCTTATTGCTGGTGAAAATATGAGAAGAACCTCTATTCYAAATTTTTWGCAACAATGGCCTTTTTTGTACCTCATTTATTAAAATCTCGCAGTCAACATTTGCTGCCATAATAATTATTATAGTGCTCATAATAATAATACTAATTATAATTATTTTTGTATATTATAATTTATAATATTACACGTGGACGGGTGGGTTAGAAACGTCTGGATAGGATATAACGTACGTACTGCGTATACAAAAGTGCGCTCGTGTGACCACGCAGCTGACGTTCACATTTAAAAACAATACAAATTTAATTTTGGCGTTGATAATATGTTCGACGTCCGTTGTACGTGCGTCGAAGAGGTGATACGTCGATAAAATTTGACGTCCGTATTAACGTGCGTTATTTTTAACGAGAGTTACTCGTGTGCCTGCTCCCATAACCGATAATGTAGTCCTACGACGCGCGTCAAAAAGTACGAGCGTATCGACGTATTTTGTACGCTCATGTGGCCCCAGCCTAGAGGAATCAAATTCATTAACTTTTCTCGTAATTTACGATTCAATTAATAGAAATGTCAAACATTAGTGATGCATTCAAATTAAATATATACATAATATTAGATTGGTATACCTAATACCTGCATTTTAGACATATTTTTAAAAGATTTTTTTTCACTTCGCAATAGGTACTAAATAATTTAAAACTGTACGCATTTTAGTATGTAAATTACTCATCAAAAGTAATTTTCATTAAATTTTCGTTATTTCAAATTACACAACACATCACTTTCGTTACGATATGTCGATTGTCGATATACTACCCAACACTGTTTATGGGTGAAATAAATAACAGGTATTATAATTTATGAAATTTAAGTACATAATAATAATATTCAAGCGTTTTATGGTAATTAATAACAATGATAAATAATAGTGAGAAAATATTTTAACCTACCATAATTTAGCGTGTTCCGTGTGTCTAGTGTCTACCACCGTAGATGGTGACATGATGAATTGATGACAGACGAGTTGACTGTTGACTAATAATTTCCAATGTAATAATATTGTAGTATTGTACATTCGGTTTATTTTTAGTTAGGTATTTCAAACGTCATAAATTAATCATCGTTGTTAAAATTGTAATGACAATGGGTTTGCCTATTGGCTATTATTATTATTTTCTTTTATCAGTTAATGTTTGTCGATCGTCAGAATATGCGAGTACGTATGAGACATGAGTGGAGTGTGCTGGTAATCTTATTTTGAACACATTAAAATATAATATACGACGAACATGAGTTTAACTAATTAATGTTATCTTTTCATATTTTCCAATCATTTTTGTATTGGCCATCCCCATATACAGAGTGTAACAGAAAGATATGACAGATTTACATGTAAATCTTACACAAATCTGTCATWTATTTCTGTTACACCCTGTATACTAATGTATAAATATCAATGAAATATTTATTTAAATCAAAATCATAGTTAAAATGTTCCACATTGTATTTGAATTACAGGGAGAGGGCAAATGCCAATCTTGCCGCCCCCTCCCTCAGCCACCAGGCACCAATGTTTATAAATTATAATGAACAATATCATTGCATTTGCAAGTTGCAACTGGCAAGACGTTCAGAAAAATGTATCAGTCATTATACATATAAATAGACATGCCTCCGTCGTACCAGTGCTAACTGCTAAATAGCAATAACTAATAAGCCACTAACCGCCATAAACTTGTCACAGGTCGCAGCACTGGAACTTGCAAGTGCAACTGTACATTGTACAATAGCCATCAACCGACAACCGTTGCCGCCGCCGCCGCAGCAGCGTCGCTGTCGCTAAGACGCTAACTCGCGACAATCTAATTCGTATTTTACTATTTTCGCAAGTCGCAACCGCCAACTGGTTTTGTCTCGCTTGCACGTTTGTATTAAATAATTTTAACTCTCGTAGTATCGTCTCTCTTCTGTCTACAACTTTCGTTCGTTGTTTTTATAGTGTGTTGTCACTTTTCCTTTAGCCTTGCGACTTGATTTTTATGATTGCTACTCGTTAGCTATAAACCCAGCTCAAGCCTTTGGCACTACAAGATGTCTACTGCGATCAACGAGGGGGCGTCCACGTCTGCCTGTCTGTCGGAGTACGAACTCTTGCGGCAACAGAACATGAATAAACTGCAACACGAGGTCTGTATTTGATTATTTGTATTATGATTATTATTTTTTTTTTTCACTATTATCTGTCATGTCGGTGTCCTAAAGTAGTAGGTATTTCATTTTAATACCTGCAATCTTCTAAGCTATGTTACAGTCTCGTTATGTTGTTCCCTACCCACTGTACACAGTTGTACACTATTTCATAAATATATGATATTTTTATTTTGTGGACTTAGATAAATCCTTATTAGCATAAAAATTTTGTTGGCCTGTAATGGCTGTATACTAGATTTTTTATTTCTGACCGATTTTTTGTAAGGTTTTCGTTGTCATGATTCTCTACTTATTTTCAAAAAATTACAAAAAAAATGTGTCCGGTAAAATATAGATATACTCAAAAATATACTGCACCTAGGTAGGTATTTGTCATTTATAGATTTTTCTTGTAGAGTAAAAATATCAAGTAACATGATAGGTATAGTTTGTTATATTTTTACTTAACTAAAAAAAAAACAACAGATCTAACGGTTGGTCTGRAAATATAAAACTAAAAGCCAAAGTAATAATATACCTATGATGTGCCACAATAACACTATAACGTAAATAGAAATATTGTTTTATCATAATACATATACATAATACATAATATATATATTAATAATGTATGAAAGGCGAACTTTTTAATTTTATTAATATATTAGTACAATATTGCTATGCCTACTCTTTTTCAAATAAGAACGCAAAATAAATTAGCAAGAATATGTACTAATGAAAAACAAATATTACTTTTTTTTTGATTAGTAGTTAATAATGATATGCATACCTAATCTAAATGTCAGTTAATACTTTCATTAGACTTTCAAGACTGTTGTTTAATAAGTTTAAAATTAATCAAAAACTAAAAATAAATAGGTCAGTTATTGACTTATTGTTGTGCACACTTATAAGTACTTACACAAAATATCAGATACAGATGGTATACCAAGAATCTTACCGAACATAGAATTTACTGAGTACCTAATTATCCATTATTACTTATGGGGGTTTGTTGTAAACCTTAATCTACCCATTATGTTGTACCTAGTACTGTCTTCACAGGTATAAAATATTATTTTAGAATCTATTCCCTCCATTAACTGCTTCATTACCATATTATTAGGGGCGTATATAGAGGGGTTCAACCCCCTCCTCACAATTTTATTCTGTGTACTTCCCTGCTTAATATTTTATATTCAGAATATTTTGATGGTTTCATATGAACTATGAACTAAGGTCTAGTTAAATATTTTGATTCAGGTAGGCGATATATTTAGTAATGCTCTGCAATGTGCTCAGAACCTTAAAAAAAGTTTGAGATTTCTGAGTGGAAGAAGGGCAGCTCATATACCAGGGCTACGAATAAAATTATTTTCTAAACTGGAAAAATCTTCAAAGGAGAAAGAGGCTCAAAGAAAAAATATCCGTCGATCATCACGTTCTAAAAGGTATGAATAATCATTATCAATAAATAAAATAATGATTAGGCATTAATCAGTTAAAAAATATAGGTAAGGCAACTTACATCATAATTTCTTATTCTTTTTTGATACTGTTGGTACTTATTAATTAAATGTATTCTATAATGTTCTTAAAAAAAAAATATTTGTAAATAAATTATTTTTAAGTACCTAATGGTAGGTGATTTTTAATTTGAGAAAAAATTAATTTAGTTCCCTTTTAGTTAACAATTGTTTGTATTATATTTAGTAGTTGTCCAATCAATAAGTTAATTATTATCCAAAAGTATATCAGTTAATTTTTTTTTTTTTTTTTGATTTATTTATACTACCCAACTAGAGGTTTAAAAAAAATTATTTATATATTTTAAAAATGCAAGATATAAAATATTTAATACTTATAGGTGATATGACCTATAGTTGATATTTGATGATATTATGGAAGTTTTTACCATTAGAATTACATAAATGTATTAGTAAAACCTTATATTATTCATTTTATTGACTTATCTTACTAATTAACAGCATTGTAGAGGCCAGAGGATTCCAAACTTGTTATGGTATGACCTATTTTGGAAATTATTTAAATTATGTAGGCCCACAATAATAACAATGACCTTTTTTTTTACTCATCATGAATTAATTTTTTTTTTAACCATTGACACATATATTGTCTCTGTTTTTTCAGTTTTTACAAAACTTCAAGTCATTGACTTTTTGTTTAATCATTTGTCCATACTAATTGCACAAAAAAAAATGTATTAGTTATTTGAAAAAAGTAAGATTTAAACTGCGTGTGTATCGTGTTTGATAAATCATTGTGTGTTACTGAAAATAACCAATTGACCTTAACATCATGCAGGCTCTAATTTGTTTTCAAATAAATTACCATCTTTTTAATAACTATTAATCTGATTACGTCGTGTTGAAAACGTCCACAATAAGTTTGTAATTGTCACAAACACAGTTAACGATTTATGATAAAACTAAATTTAAACATTACAAAAAATAATAGAAATTCAATTCTAAAAAATACATTATTTAAAAATTTAACTCAACCCACGGTTCGGGAACCTCTGATCTAACATAATGGACATAATATTTTAGCATTCACTTCTATCATGTATTATTTATTTTGTATGCTATTTGTTGTATGTTTTATTTTTATTTTTTTCATTATTCAGAAAGCAAATTTGTTACGATTCTAAAAATGAAAATAACGATGGAAATAGCAAAAAACGTCAACAGAAATTTAAACAACAGAAAAAGTCTCTTCTACGTAAATCTAAAGTTATCAAAGTAACTATTCAATAACTATTAATTAAAAAACATTTTAAATTGTGTTTTTAAATTTTTTTTTATGATCAGGTTGCAAAACAAAAATTTAGTAGAAAAGTATCTCGGTTAGATGTATCTCTTGTTACAAAAGAAATGTTGGACAATATAAATTACCGATCTGTAGGAAAAAAATATAATACCGAAAACGGAACCACTTGTCACCAATGCAGGTAAAATTTACTATTGAAAAAAAATTTTAATACTGATTGCTGATTGGAGATTTTATTATATTATCCTTTGCTAATTTGATAATAATTTTTAATATTTTTTATAAATTACATATATCTATACTCTGTTCCACGATAAACCATACTCGTCCGCGCATCTGACTGACGCCAGGGACGGTGTGAAACCCCAATTTCTCCCACTCCTTATTGTTCTTATGCGAGGAGTCATTGCTGACTGGCTGAACAGTTTACAATCGTAACCAAATGGTGGGGAATGTGCAGCGATGGATGAAAAACCGAGTATGGTCTCTCGTGGAATAGAGAATAAGTGTTTTAGAAGTTTTATCTCACAATTAATTATTATTGTTGAAAAATCTATAAAAGATCATGACGTCATGCTGATTAAACTATACTTGGAATAAGCAAAAATAAATGTATGCTTTTCTTAACATATTTGGATTATTATTGTAGTAAAAAACTGCAAGAGTTTTGTTTTAATTTTTTGTGGCTTATTATTTTGGAAATAAATTTCTATTTGATTGGAATGATTAGATAGTTATTGTATTTTTAAATATTCTATAGTAATTAAAAAGTTGATATTTAGCTTTTATAGGTAAATGAATATTTTTTTTAGTATTAAAGCATGGAAGTTATAGGAGCTTAAAAGGTGAAATATGCGAAAAAAATTTTAAATATGCATGAAAAAAATGTGAAATAAGCAAAAAATTATTCAAGTTTTATCATTCAAAAAAATTTACAAAAATAAAAAATGATGCTTAACATGGTAGCAATCATCAATGTATGTGGTCTTTAAAGTACTTTCACTCGGTAGTCGKTACAGTGTTTAGCGCAGTGGTTTTCAACCGGTGACCCACGAGAAATGTCTGATATATTTATAATTGTGCTGGTAAAAAATATTGAAAATAGTGCTTTATTTCATTACATTTGGGTTAAGTGTGCTACGAATCAAAAAAGCTTGAGTTACCACTGGTTTATCGAGTTCTTCTTAAAAAATTTTGTCAGTAAGAATATTTTTTGCCATCAATGCCTTTCATAAATCTGTAGAAAAAGCTGACTTTTTATTAGACGCAGTAAAAAGTTGTTGAGTACATTCTGAAGATGACTTACAGGTTTTTCGACAAACTGTTAACATTTCATGTTTATTTGTGTTCATATGAAAATACATCTCCATATTCACTTAGATATTTTTGTAAAATAATGTTTAGATCTCAGTCTACACTAAATTATATTATTTACCAGTGACATCAGAATGTTGAATGGTTTGGTTGAGTTTACTTTGATAAATGATGTTTACTTAAATTGAAATCATTTTTTCAGGCAAAAAACTATGGACCAAAAATCGTACTGTCGGCACAAGAGTTGTAAAGGTATGAGAGGTATGTTCTGTGGTTTTTGTTTGCGTACACGATATGGTGAAGATGTAGCTGAAGCATTATTGAATCCGGTAATTTATATTTATTAATATATTTTCATGGCAATAAATATTTATTTTTTACATATTATATAAACATAAAGGAATGGGCTTGTCCGCCATGTCGTGGTCATTGTAACTGCAGCATTTGTAGGCGTGATCAGGGTAAAGATCCGACAGGACAATTGGCACAAGTAGCAAAAGCCAAAGGATATAAATCTGTTCGCGATCTGTTAAGGACAATAGAAGGAGAACCAAATAAACCACAAAATTATAATCCTGAAGAGAACCATGTTGAACTACAAAACAAGGATGTAGTTGTTTCTACCGGTACTCAGTCAAAGATTGATCATTTGAATGACGAGACTGTACTTGATGAACATAAAGTTGAAAGCACGGATGAGTTAAAAACTATGAAGAACAATGTAACACTAAAAATTCTGTAGAAGAGCATACAGAAACTTCAGAAATGATTATTGATACAATTTATAAGAAATTAATGGTGTCTTAATAATCAGAAGAAAATAATTTAAAAAAAATCAAAACAATATTCTAATTATAAGCAGAAAGTAGTCATATAACTTATTAATATTATATTTTATAAGTTTATATTTTTTTTCAAGTTAAACCTTGGTTTATTTTTTCASTTTGAGTTATAGTAAAAGAGTAACAAYTCTATTAAAAATTAAAATTTAAAGTTGATCTATAATGTAAATTACAGTTGATACATATTCTATTTTAGTATAAAACAATTTTTTTTTGCATTACTATTTATGTTTAATTGACAAGTAGTCATAATTAATTTTATTCAATCATATAAAGGTAAATGTATTTATTTTTTTTGCTTATCCATTTTTATATATTTGTGGCCATACAAATAAGATATGTATTTTAGTTATATAACTTAAAGGGATATGCCACAAACTTAAAGCACTTATTGTTCAGAAGTTATTTTTTGTTTTATTTTTTACTATTAATATAATATAATGTTTATTAAGTATTTATGTAATTTTGTTTTCTATTATATTTAAATTTTGATACTTAATATTTGTGTTCATTTAATATGATTATTATATTTCTAGTGTTATGGAGGCTGTTCCGCTGTCTAATAATTAATTAGCGTCCAGAGTCAAACATTTTCAATATTTCCTTGTATAATCATATATTTTAATATTTATCATTTATCTAGATATGTAAAATTAGTATAATTTAATGTCTTTAATAAATGATTAAAAATAATGTAGATACCCAGAAGCCTTGATAACTTAAATCAGAGTTCTAAGATTTATCAAAAATATACATTTATGTCTTTGCAAAAACTGGTTTTAATCCTTTTCTTCCCTTCCATGCTGCTTTAGTGGACTATCATTATATTAGGACTGGTATTTTTTAATAAACTATGGGTAGGCAAGTAGGCGACTTATATTAAGACATATAAAATAAATATATTATTATACAATACATGTATATAATTTCAATTCAATAAGAACTAGTTTATAAATACTTAAACTAAAGTTCTAAAACACATTTGAATTATTATCTATACAACATACATCCTGTTAATAGTGGCACATTTTAAGTTTTTAAACTTTTCATTTTAATATTAAAAACAAAAAATTAACTTAGACCAATGTGTCAATCAAATACAAAAAAAAAATAAATTATAGAAATACCAATTTTCAAAACGCATATTAGAGTACGCATTTAAAGAGTTGCTAAAWAAATAATTATTTCAAGATTTTGCTATTCTTGCAAATGTTGGTACAGGATTGAAGGTATTAAAGTAATTTTGAAGTTTAAGAATTTGTTATGCATCTATTGGAATATCCCACATCAACAAATATCAATCGATTCAACTGCTTTTTTTGTGACAATATTTTAGATGAATGTATTGCTATTATAGTGTGATTTGTTTGTGGTTGTGTACATCGATAAGTAGTTGAAGTAATAATTCGATTTTCAGCTTAAGTAACTTTTCTGATGGGAAAGTAAATCTAGTTGGTGCATTTTAGTGGTCAAAATTAAAAATTCACAGTGGGATCTATAAGTGTAAAAATAAACAAAAAGTAATTAAGGAAAACGGGGATTTTACACAAACCCTATTTTAGATAAAATTAAATTTGTTTTTTGGTAAGTACATAAACCTCTCTTTAGATGTGAGATGTTAATATAAACATTTTTTTAAACACCATTCAATTTTCGAAATTGTATATGACTATTTAACGATTTGAAAATGTAATTTATGATTCCTAATTGATTTTTCTAGTTTTTCTGGAAAGTCAAATTAAATTCTTATAATAATTGTACGTTTATGAGTTGACCATTTTTTTGAGTTTTTAATTTTTATTATAATTTAAAGCAATTTACGACACATACTAATGTAAGAAGTTATCATTTTGATGACAATGGATATTCAAAATTCAAATAATTTAACGTATATTAATTACGGTATAACGATTTCAATATTTTTATTGGGTTGTTTTGAAATTTGAACCACTGAAGTGGGAAAGTGGCATAGTACAACGTAACGTTTCATTGTTTGTTTACTACATCGAGACATGGGGTACTGCCAGTACAACCAATTCTACCTCCACCACTACAACTACTGCCACTGCCCACTACTACCATATTGTTCTATGACCATACAGTTACGACTACAACTACCATTGACACTATTACCACACAATTACGACACTATAGTCTAAGCCTACAGCTTGCTATACGGTCTACGGATCACGAGGCTACGATCGACCGCTACGGCGCTACCGTCCGACACCCAATCGGCTATCATCGTGTGCTCAACCCGTCAACCATCTTTATCTCCTTTGTTCGACCAGAAACTACGTTAATATATTTGTAGAAAGCAGTGAGGATGCGCAGCATTGACCAATGAGCGAGCTCGGTATTGTGATACGAGTATAGCCGTGTAACTAACATACTTGTCTATTATGTCACGGTAGTTTGTGTATGCTCTTCCCTTCGGCCTTCACTACCGCGCTTCACAGGCTCCAACACTACCTCATGTCCCCCGACCGTCTTCGTTGATTTTTTTTGTTTTCCGTAAGTTTCTTCTCACGTCCGGCGTCGTCACGTTGCTGGGCCTCTATAGACTACTGCAGAGGCAGAACACACTGTCACATCTCAAATCGCAGCTCGCCGTCCGAAACACTGTGCACGCTTCACCGCCGTCGACTTGACGCGTGCAACCAACGTGGTGGTGATCCGTCGGAGACAGCAAGCCGCCCGCCCACCGTCGACTAGCCATCCTGCCCGTCCATTGCGCCGTGCCCCGACAACAATACTGTTGTTCTACACTGTCCGCTTGATCACGATCGCCACAGTAAGTAGAATCGCGTTCGTACAGTTTACACTTAGCGAGTTAACCATTTTAAACGTTCATTGTATAAATTATTAGAAACAAACATGGTTTACAAAATAAAGAAACACTCAACAATGCCCGTTCACGTAGTCGATGACCATAACGACGCGTTGCGATATATCTACCGGGAAATAGGTTCGAAACACTTGCCCTTGTACGGTAATGTTCTGTTGCATTTTGATTCGCATCCGGACTTGTCCGTTCCTAAAGATATGCCGGCCGATTACGTTTACGAAAAAGAACAGTTGTTCGATTCATTAAGCATCGAGAACTGGATACTGCCAGCTGCATATGCTGGCCATTTTGATAAAATTATCTGGGTAAAGCCTCCTTGGGCACGGCAATTCAATGAAGGTGAAATTGTGTTCAGTATTGGCAAGCACAAGACGTCTGGCGTTATACGATTGACTAATTCTAGTGATTTCTATCTGAGCGAAGGTCTTTATTGTTTGGAAAATGATCTCATTAATATAAGAACAATCAAGTTGTTTGTATTTACTATGTGTAGTTCAGTTTTTGACGATGGCGAGGAAAAATTTGAGCTATTACGAAACAAGTTTGTCGAGTACACTAGAGATAATCCTCATTATATCTTAGATTTTGATTGTGACTTTTTCTCCACAAACAATCCATTTCTGTCCATGTATGACAAAGCAAATTTGTATACTAATCTACATAAAATTTACACATTCAACTCTCCAACTAATAAAGAAGACGTTAACAGCTTACTGCAATGTTCTCGCTCTAGAGAAATATTGTTGCAAGAATTGGAATCTGTGTTTATGCATCTTGATGACGGTAAGTCATTAGATGAGTATCCGACTGAAACTTTAACTGCCGTAAATCCTGAAGATTTATCCTTTATCGTAAACGAATTGTTGAAACATTACGATACAATTGACTGGTTGATAGTGCATAATGCTGGATGCACAATTGACAATATTGAATTACCTAACCATCACACGGACTTAGCTGATATCGCAAAATCTATGGATATTGTATTCAACTTTTTACCTATTATACACGAACCAGCTGCCATTACAATTGCCTTGTCCACAGGAGATGATTACTGTCCATTGGAGAGTGCACGCTTTATTAATGAATCATTGCTCGCAAAGCTAGAATGCTTGTATAATAAACTGAATGTTCAAAAATGTACTGAAGGTTCCTAAATTACTGAAATACCTAAAGTATAAGTTTATTTTATTTTAATTGTTAGTAATTTGTTTTATTCTGTGTGCAACATAATATTTTTTTACAGCTAGTATTATCTAAAATTTAAAGTTTCTTTGTGAGTCTTGAGTTTAAAATACATTATCATTAGGCTTATACATTTTATTTTTTATTTTTAATACCTATATTAGTACATATTATGCCTAATTTTTAAATGTTAACAAAACAATATTTAGTATTTAAGTATTATATTATTAAAATAAAAAAACATTTAATTTAATGAGACATTTTTACTAAATATTTCCAGCAATTATTTTAATAATATTACTTATGTTTATTTTAAATATATAATGTAATCAGTCAAAAATAATAATCATTCTCTTACTAATGATAGTACTGCTTAGTTCTTAAAGTTTTTTAGATAAGTAATTTTAAGTAGGTATATAGGTAATAATTTTTAGATGTTTATCAATTGTAATTTTTAAAATAAAACAACCAATAATTTAAGTCCAGGCCATATTTTGTTTAACTAAAATTTGACTTCATTAATTGTAGGATGTCTGTTTTCAAACAATTAAATATTAGCTATTTCAGTGAAGGCTGAAGATTATATTTTATTTTTTTACTAATTTATTTCCAAATAATATATAGTTTGTGTTAAATTGTTTAGACATTAATATTGATGATTCGAATTGTGATTGATTGATGATTGTCTCCCAAGTATATTATTTAAGTTATTGTTAAACCATACATCGCTTACTCATTGTTCAGTATAACTCCTATCCAACTGTGATTGTTTAATTAAATACCTCTGTAAAATTGTGATGAACAATAGATATTTTTCTATGTTAAATACTATGGAAAATATTTATTAAATTCATATKAAACAAATTAAAGTTTTTGGCTCAGAATTAAATTGTATGTTATTAGACTACCTATCTACCATAAAATATTGGTTTTACAAATATATTTTTTTATGTGTGCGCTTAAATGTTAAGTTTAATATTATTACTTTATTAGTCAAAAACTATTGGAACTCATGGAAAAATATTACCTTAAAATTAAATGAATTTGTAATTTAACTCAAATTAATAATATTGTAGGATACCGTTACAAGTATTTTTAAGATCTTGATCTTGATATTTTATTCATGTTTTATTTTTTAAAACATAAATTATAGTATTTATGTTAGATTTACTGTTTTTGGACTAAGAAATATTTAAATGTTTAAACGTTGTAAAACTATAAATTACATTTTATTCTATTAATACTAGGTATACCTATATTTTTTTTTAAATTTAAATATATGATATTTTACAAACAAACGATTGCGTATTCAGTTTTAAATTATAACATTCTATACCTAACTATATACAATTATATGTTAATAATCATATTATATTATTTATCAAACATCATAATATTTCTTAATTGATTTATGTAACATTTATTGATTTACACAATATGCATGCATAATTTATTGGTATAAGTATTGTTTTATTTTAAAAAAAATGCAAAATTATTATAAATGTAGGATTAACTAATAAACAGTAAAAGATAATTTGCTGTTTTTAATTTTTTTAAGTATTATAAGTTCAAACACTTAAGGTATTACTTTTATTGGTTCTTAAACATTAGTGTCTTCAATTATTGAAAGTTGTAGCAGTGTTTGCTATTTATTCAAAAATCATGACTGTCAATACACATTTAGATGGGCAAACTTTAATAATGCTATTTAGATATTATACAATTTATTACAACTCCTTTGATTGGTTTATGTATAAAATATTAAAATATAAACAAAAGTTTAATGCTTTTCACTTTAATTTTTACTTTTCAGATCCTTTGAATCATTGAAAATGGAAAATACTACCATGCAAAATAATTATGTATATGAAATAAGTGATGATGAAGAAGAAGACGTCTATGATGAAGAAAAATCTGCTCAAAGTTTAGAATTAAGAGCTTTAAAGGAGTCTACTTTAAGTCGTTTCACTCCTGAAACTAAAAAATCAGTAGATTTAATAATTGATGAGCTTCTATGTGAAACTTTATTTAATATTCATAAGGAATTAAAATTAAAAGTTCTTGATCCGAGGCGGTTTGATTCTGATTACCGAAGACGCTGTAATACTCCAACCTTAATAGTAATGGCTGAAAATTTGAATATCACTAAACCAACTCAGGAAGTTGAATGTCCCAAATGTTTTGTATCAGTGAAGTGTCTTTTATTATCTAAGCATTTAGCATGTTGTATGAATCCACACCAAAGCACCTATTCTTATAGTAGTAGAAATAGTTCTCGGATAGCTCGGCAGCGTATACAAGAAGGTTTTAAGACCACTTATGAAGAAACTAAAAATGAAAGTGAAKATGAGAGAATAAAACCAAAGAAGCGTAGCAATAAAGCAAAAAAGTCCAACCTCAAAAGCATAAGGTAAAATTATTCAAATCTAGTTATTTTTAGCTTTAAATAATTTAAAAATTATTAAATATCAGTCATGTTGTTGGTATATGTTTTTAGAATTTTCCAAATTGTTAATTTTATGTTGACATGATAATAATTAATATGTTCTGTACAATATCTTATATATTATTCTTATAAGTTATGAAAACATTTTAAATATGCATCTAGCTATTGAATATTGATAACAATACAAAATTGTTTAATATAATTCATAYTAAAATTTCAAATCAAGAATTCAGTGCTTTAAATACAAACCATTTGTTTTTATAATTAGGTACATATTTTTATATTATTTTTTATTGGCCACATATTAACTACTTTGTTATATTAATAAAAATATAAGATAAAATATAATAATTTAATTAAATCAATTTACAAAATATAACACATTAACTGTTTGTATTCATATATTAATTTCAATTATCACATATTTTACCTAAATAAAATATTGTACCATGTATCCATGGTACCATGTACCTACACATTTATTTCTAAGTCAAACAACCTTGCTATTATAATTGTTTTAATTGGATATTTTCCTATTTTGCTTTTTTATGCATATTTTAAATTCTACAAATCTGTGTTTTCCAGCCCTTTTATTATGACAACCCACAAGGCCACTAATATACAATTTCTTAGAATACTTAGTTCTGTTAAATTTAAGGATTATAATTTTTGCATTTAAACTAAATTAAATTTGCTAATTTTGAGTTTTAAGTGCTATTTACAAGCATATTTTATATAAAATGAAAATAAACTAAATTGTATTGAATAATGAATATGCTAACGAAGACAAACAGTAGGTACATTTTAGTTACTATTGCCGATCGCACAGGTTATTCCGTTCGTTTCCAATAATTTAGTTATTTTTAAAATTTTATCAAATGTACTGCAGTTATCGAATTCGTTCGAAGGTTAGATAGAAAATAATCCTGAGCCGGAAAAGTGCCTACTTCTCAAATATTTAGTATATCATATTTTATATAAAACTTGTATAATTTAAAAAAGTCTAAAAATTAGTTTATAAAACACTTTTAAATAAAAAATGTTTGTTAATGAAATTTTAATTTAAATATTTTCCAATTTTAAGTGCTATTTATAGCGATTATTGTGGTGTTTTTAAGTGCATATTAAACCGCTAAAAAATTACTTTATTAGTGCTATAACTTCCGAGCCCAGGCTTATATAGGTGATAATAAGAGTGACTTTAGTACTAGAAATAAAACTTCAAATGGTCGTGTCGTTTTCATTTCCACAATGATTGCAAATAATATTTTATAGTAATTATGCAAGACTTAGGTATGATGTTGGTTTTCGGTGCTTTGACGCGGCTCCCTTTGCAAACTTTAGCGACGCCCTTGAGAGCCGCGACGCACAGTTTGAAAAGCTCTGGACGCTCTGGTTACTCAAAAACTCAGTTTTCCCTTAATTTTTTTTTGTTTTTCCTGGCGGTCTTGAAAACTATTGGACATTTTTTACATTTAACCCAGGCAAATATTTTGGTGACTAAGCACCTAGCCGTCATTTATAAGAGGCATCATTTTTATTCGCTATATATTATATTTATTATATTTTATAAACCAATGTTCAAAACTACCTTTTCATCCGGATTTGTTTAAAAGTATAAGTACTTGTGTTAAAAGTGAAGTTGTGAAATTGATCAACTTTAAATAAAAGTAAAAAGAAATTAATTTTAAATTCAGTTTAAAAATAATATATAGATACATCAAAAAGTTATTATGTTTAAAACTACTTAAAATTCATGAATATAATACTATAAATTTATTTTTATTAATTAATATAAACAGGCACATACTTATAATATTAAGTTATTTATCTTCATTGTAAACATTTTAGTTGGGAAATAATAAAATTATATATTATTAGTATTATATTAAACAAAATAATAAGATAATATAATATAATATATACTTAATGTTTTATTAGGTATGGTTTAAAACTGTAGAAGGTAATTGTACAATTAATGTAATACAGTTTTATTATATTAAATACTTTCCAAAATAGTTATATTTAACAAAATTAGTAGTAGATATATATTTAAACATCAAAAATTAAGTAGGTACTTATGTACTATTTATGACTATAATCGGTAGGTATGCAAAAAAAAAACAAGCTAAATTGTAAAAAACTTTAATTATGATTACCCATCACGATTGATCGATGATGTTACTTAAATGTCACAATATATAATTTTTATACAATTCTTTAGAGTTGTATACTTGTATATAAATATAATATATAAATTTATATTCTATATCACAGTCCTCAACAGCCGTCACTTTTAACCAGCAAACCCATGAAAGACATTGTATGGAGTAGACATCCACAAAGGATTAGGAATGTCGAATGACTATACTAAGTTAGAATGTCAAAATATTGAATTTAGCCCAGCAATATTAATTATTAATTAAATAATTATTAAAAGTATATAATAAATAGTATGATGGACGGTGCTAGAGTTATTTAGTTGGTAGTACAATGTTAGTCGTATATATATGTTATAAACAATTATTTGATAGCGCGAATCACTCACTCATAGTTTGTAGATTGTTCGATGTTTATTTAAACATGTTCATATAGTGATACAATTTTAATTAAACAGGACTATAATCTAAAAATGATAGCAGATTTGTCAAATAGGTAACAAATGAATTAAGTGGAAAACTGATTGGTAATAGTTTTTGATGGATAAACTCGTAAAATGCCAATTGAGTATCACAATAAACTGTCACTTATCTCAAAATCCTTTCTTAAATTCGCAAGCCACATATCTAGATAACTATTCTATCTAACAAGTAGGGCCTTGCAAAAGACATGTACAACATTTCATTAAAATCGTTTACTTAAGTGGTTTCAGAGATTAGCGCGATCAACTATTTTAACAGGATATTTATACATATAAAGATAATATTATATATATTGTTTTAACAATTGTTATCATTAGGCAATCATTTTATGTTAACTGTTATATTTTGTAGAACTTTTTTTGTAAGTGTAATATTTTAAGTACTGGAACCTATTATCTCTCTTCATAATTTTTGATCATCACTCTTACGGCTTACACACAATCATAGACTTATTAATCAATTTATATATTGTGTGATATATAGACAATATTTTTGATTAATTTCAAATTGCGCATTGTATAGGTAGAATAGGTTTGTAAATCATGTCGTTGCCCACCGATTTATGTCTCCGTAAAACGCAGACGGTACCTAGTAGGTACAACCTACAGACTATTCAATTAGGTATTGTGAATTTGTTACGTTTGAAATCGCTGAGAATTGTGCGAAAAATCTGCAAATACATATTTAAATACACTTAAACTTACATATTATGATATATATTTCATACCTAGGCACCTAATTAATATAATGTTATCGGTGGTCAAAAATGTTCAAAATACTATGTTATTATTATAAATCACTATTTCTCTATGAATTATTTTTAATACATAGGTATTCTGGATGTATGATATTGTACCTCCGATTTATTACATTATATTTATATACAATATCATAATCCGATAATTGTTATCTATTTAACTCAAAAATTTCGTATAATATAGGTAATAGTAAATTATACTACAATATATCAATAAGATCCAAACAATTAAACGATTGTATTAGATATTCAGATCTGGTGGTTGTGGTCGACGGCAACTGGCGCTTCATCGGGTTGATCGATTATTTTGATTTTCTGATATTTTTCTGCGAACAATATCGTAAGATACGAGTTTAGTGCTTGCAGGTATACAATTCGTATAATATAGGTATTATTTTTATTATATACTTCTGCAGGTGTACCCGAAACCCGTGTTACAATCAATTGCAGATTTATAACATTTATTGCTAACGTATAGAAACAGATAAGTTGGTATTTAATACTTTTAGTTGTACTTATATAGGTACTATACATTTAAATGAGTATTATACTGGTACTGAGCGAACATTTTGTAGTTAAGATTTAAGTAGGTACCTAAATTGAATATTTCATAACTTAAAAATTGTATCTTTAAATCGTTCATCTCCTTCAGGGTTCCATCGTTCATTTATAATATAATGCTGTAGAATTGTAAATATGCACTGTTGAATTATTCATGAACTATTGAAATAGATGTAATTTTCATTTTATTTGAAATTCTAATGTAGAACATTTTTTTTAGAAATAATGATGTTAGTGTTGAATTATTAATACCTGCCACTGATATTACATTGTATATTTTTGGATAATAGATAACATAAAATAAACTGTTTTAATTTAGATAGGTATAGCTAGCTTTATAAATGTGACTAACTTATTTATTAGTTAGGTTCAATGTTTTATTATTTACTAATATTGTATACATAATACATTGGTAATTTTAGAATAAGATCAAAAATTATATACCATCTATTTTAATGTATAATACCATCAAGTGGTATAAAGTACCATCAAGTCGTTTTTATTTTTGCCCTAAGGTAAAAAGTTAACAATACAAGGAACCTTTTATATAATTTTCTAAATAATTTTCATAAATGAATAATTTGTACTACTATTATTAAAACTACTGAATTGACTTATGTTGATTGACTAAATCAATGAAATTATACCTATACGTACGCTTGGAAATATTATTTTTGTGTAAAAAATGTAAAATAGTAATTGCTACAAGGTTTATAGAAAATCAATAGTTACACTTTTAAACTAGAGGTTACTAAACTTAGTTTTTCCCGCTAACTATATTCATGTTTATTACGAATTAGACATGTATACCAAACACCAGTGTACCATACTTTATCCATTAATATTTGTGATTAAAATTAGAAATTTTCAAAATTGCAATACATTTATATCAAATTATAGGCAGTTAAAAATTACCCATATAGTGAAAGGTTTCAAATTAATGATTTACCACCGACAATTTCCAAGTGAGGTGCGTGTCAACGATTACGGTGAATATTTATGTATTTCTCTTGATCAGGGTAACAACAAACAATAACTAATAATAGCTTATAAAAATAATAATAATTAACTCAAGATATGAAAAAATTAGATTTACAAATAATGATCAATTAATAAAAAAAAATTTCCGAACTCAACTGTTTGGTCTTTATACTCGTATTATACAAATTGTACCTACCTATATATCTACTACAAATCATTAAATTACACAAAACTCGGGTTTATACAGGTTGTTATGTAAAAATATGTGCGCTTTTAAACAGAAGTAATTTGTTAAGTAAAATTTTAAAAATATGAGTGAAAAAATCTAAAAAGTGAGAGCAAACTTGGTGGAATCCACATTGTATAGTACTAAATAAATTACTAATATTACTAACCTAGAATCTTTCTAGTATCTACTAATAAAATATATTCAATTGTTTATAGAGAAGTACGTTCTGCAGAAGACTCGACTTACTCGCCATCTTGAGCATTATCACACCCCACCATATGCTCCATCCCCAGCCGACTAAACAAAAAAGCACCGTGAACAGCTGAGCAGCGGCTACGACGAAGTTCACGCAAAATGCGCCTACCCTGGATTGAAAGGTGTCGTTGACCGTGAATCTTGGCTTACCAATGCATAAGCACAACATTCCGCTGGAGAACGTGCCTATATATAATAGAAATAATATTTATTAAATTCATAATAGTTTGTGTAGAAATAAAAAGTAAATATGTTTAAAATGTAGAAATTTTAAGTAGTCGTGTGATGAAATTAATGTGTAATGTTTTTTTTCTTCTTTATTTATTGAAAATGGTCAATAGAAAACCTATTAGCTGCTATAATCTATTAACTAAGTTGGCTTCATATTCTATGGATAAAATATTATCCATACATTTTACGGGAAATAATTATTTTATAAAATTATAAAACTAAATTGTTATCCTATACCTACATAAAATAAAAAAGTATTTCATAAATGAATGAAATTTGAACTTTAAATTTAATTAATTATTGGTACATTTTAGATGTTTTCCTATTTGTATTTAAGTATTTTCTATAGAGTTGATTAAATGTCCGATACCTATTAAAAATAAGGAATTCAATGACTATCAATAACTTGATATGTGTWAAATAAATAATTTATAGCTTAGATTGTTTATATATATTATAAACTCTGTATTATAGTGTGACGTAATTTTAAAGAATATTCTAATATTATATTCCAATATTTTATTACTGTTTTGTAAACATAAACAATAATCATAAATCACTTATTTTATTATTTTATCTTCAAAAATGTATATTATTATGTGTGATTATAATTAACTCAAATTTTTTTTTAAACTTTTTATACCTACTTGATATTATTATTTGTAAGCTGTTAGCATAGACCTTATACAGCTTAATGCTTATAATATTAAATAACAGAAAAAACATACTGGATTGGTAGGATAGAATGGTGGAAAGCATTACTTTAAAATTATTGTTAACATTAGTTAATAGAAATAATGATAAAAGTAGATGTTTATTATACATATTATGAATATGTCGTTGTTGCGTATATGCTGTGTGCTTCGGTATTTGTGTGGGACGCAGCATATTATCATCAATATGTATGACTACTACTACACTATGTTCAATCTATGAGTATATTAAGGCCTATGTGTGTAAAATAATTTATATAGTAAATAAAATACCTAGATAGTTTATGCTAGTCTTAAGTCCATTCCATTACAATAATTATAATACTGACTTATAAACATAAAACTATTATTTAAGTAAACAGTTGACTTGATCATTGAAAAAACTAATATAACACCTATTTGATAGTTATAAAATTTAGTTTTGCTTACAAAAATATATTATATAATCATTTAATGAAGATTAGTATATAAGTTTCAATTTAGCTGTTCTATTCATTATATATGTGTTCTTAATAATAAAAAAATTACAATAAATTTGAATTTTTATATAAATATGAACCTATTGCATGTGGTATTACTGTATGTCTGTATTAGATACTCATCTATTATTTTTGTAGGCATTCTATCTCAACAATGGGTGTATCGGAAAAAAAATAATAGGATGGGGGCACAATATAAAACATAATACCTAATAGGTATATATGTATACTCATTATGATTGTTTAAAAATATTCACTTTTTTAATAATAATATATTAATGTTTTTTATAATAACATAATACCTACAAGTATATTCATAAAATTATAAACATTAAAAGTATTTTTCTTACTCTACTGTTAACATGAAAATTAAATAGTAAAAACTGTAATTTTACCCATAACTAGACAACATATCAACTTCTTAAAAAGGAAAAACTACCATACATACTTAAAATGTTCCACAAAAAAATTGTATTAGCATTTTATGTGAATACTGAATAGTATAATTTTTAAAATATCATGATTTATGATTATTATTGATATTTTTTATTTTATATTTTTTTTCGTATACCAACTAAAAATTATTTAAAATACAATAGAGCTACAATGTTAATAAATATTTTTTAAGTATTTAAATTTATGATTATGACAAAAGTCATCAAAATCACGAAAATATTCAAATATTACTTTTAGTAAGTTGAGAATTCAAAAAAATGTTTCTGTTCATACCTTAAGTTATACTTTTTAAACACATATATTATAGTCTAAACAACTATAATTGTGTTCAATAAAATACGTACGTTGATAGTTTAATACTACTAACAGTAGTCAGTACCATTGTACCAATGTAAGAGGGTGCATGGGTCTCTTGTACCGCCCTCTGTACCCTCCATCATAAATGTCCTCACCGAACACAATATAATATGTACATTATGTCATTATATTTAAACAGATGATTAGTGTGTACTTCCAACAAAAAATATCAGGATGTGAAAATGCACATGCGCACAATTTTATTTTATTAACACACTGTATTTGAGGTAACCTACAAAAGTGTACCTATCTCAAATGTTCTACATATTATAGAGATACCATCTCTAATTATTTTTATCTTCTGCAACTATTTAAGCATCATCACTCTGGTCCAGGTAATCTTTAGTTAATTTAATTATATCGACCAGAAACTTTTCGATACATTATACATTGAAGTAAATGTTACCTGCTCCCGGAATAATGACGTTGAACACTAAACACAACCATGCCAGTGTTACTGGTAGTACTGGTATAGCACCTTTCATAACGGACGAATGATCGACAAAAACTGCATCCAATTTAGGTATATTCTGGTGAAAAAAACAAATATAATATATATTAGATACCTGTACAGTGTTCAGTGATTACGTATAAGGTTTACAAGGAAAGTAAAAAAAAGTGAAGCCTTCAACACACGCAAAGTGTACATTTACTTAATAAGAAAATAAAGTAAAATAAACTAGGTTAAACGTCTTAATTAAAACGTAGCGTCGTAGCAGATGTGCTGAGATTCATTGAACTTCACATAAGTTCTAGAAGTAAGCTGTCACATTTTTATCAAGTTAAAAATGATCATGAAAAATCGCCTACATGTCTGAAGTAGTGATAAGTATATACGTATAAATACTTTTATTATGTTTAAAAATAATTTAATTCATATTTTATGCGGAATAAATACTATACATTATTGTTTAGTGCATGTCAACTATGTGAACTATGAATAAATAAGTTAATATTTTTATGAATTTAAAAAGTAAAATATAATTATTGCACATTTTATAAGCACGTACCTACCTAGTCTTTTACATAAATTAAAATAAAATAAATAATAAATTAAAACGTATTGTAACTACACCATTATTCCAAGTGTTGTAGTTTACCAACACAATCTGAACATGAAAGGAAATTATGCCAAACTAAGTTAATAGGTAGTGTAATAATTGATAATTAATGTAAAGTAAATCGTCACAAAACATTCTAAAGGCAATAATCAATGAAAATCAGCTAAAAATAATTGATTTTTTTAAACAAAATGCAGTTTAATGTTTATAATATATACCTACTATTATACTTTTGATTATACCATTTATACCTACATGTTATTAATAATATATGTATACTATATAGTGATTATACATTTTATAATTTATAAATAATAATAATTGGTACCTAACTCATAAACACACACACACACACACTTATATAATGCCTATAAGCTTTGCAGAATCGATATTGATACCTACTTGGTAGTTGATACCAAGTCAAGAATTAATTTAACACGAATAAATAATAATTTAATTATATTATAGTTATAGAAATATAGTCGTGTGTATATCAGTATAATATGTAATAAGTGTTCATRTTGATTTAATGTGTTTTAAATGGTGCGTCAATCAGACTTTGAATGTCCTATACGTATAGTAGATTTACATTATTGTGGTTTTATAAAAGGTTGTGGGTAAGTACCTACCCAAGACCCAAACATTATGATATTTGATATTATGTCAGTTTTAATAGCAGAGCTAATGTCTAACTAATGAGTTATAGCTTGTGTAGTAGTAGTATAACCCATATAAAGTTTGTGGGTGTTGGGTTAATAATTATATTATAAACAACGGGTCGACGTCCTTTCGACATTTATTTTAATGCGTGTCTAAGAAGGTTAAATTTCCTAGAAATCACCCAATCGAGAGAGTTTATTCAATAAATTAATCATATTTTATGATACCTATTTGTTATAAACACATTCCTATACATTTATAAGATATTTATATATTCATTATATTCTACAATGTTAAAAATTTGAAAGGCTATACCTAAATCAATGTTGTTTCAAAATCAAAACATGCATAATTTTACAGTGACCTTTATGGGTTTGTATTATTAATCATTCAATCGTTTATAGGATTTTTCATTATTATGGTAAACAATATTATATTGTTATTACTATTTAGCTATAAATAGTGTGTATACACTGTATAATATAAATACGATTACAGGATTACTTTATAAAAAAATATACTATAACAGCATACCATTATGGTATTATCATACAACGTTGGAATATAATTACATATTATGTACAATGTATAACATGCTGCCGTATTGGTAGACATAGTCATGATGTGTATTAAACGGGAATTGTAACATTTGAAAACTTGCGTATCTTCATATATAGTGGCGCATTTAGCCATTTAAGGGGGGGGGGGTATACTAAATCGCGTTGCATGCAAATCGATGTATTATAATGAATCAACATAAACTTATAGAAATTATGCATATACGAATGCTTAAATGTATTATTATTATTATACCTATATACACTATATTGGTCCAATTATGTATGGTTATCAAATACCAAATTTCTTATATCCTCTAGGCATGCCAATAGTATATAAAATATTTATTTTTTATTTTTACAAGTACCTAATATACAATCTGTATCATTAATACAATAAGAATATGTGCTAAGAGTACATTCACAACAAAATAATTTGATAAAAGGAGCCACTCATTGATGACAATTTCTATGATTACTTAATTATTTACTTAATAATTATTTTTAGTAATTATATTTGTAAATAAAATATAAATGTATAATATACTATAGTCTAATATTGTGATGGTCAAATAAGTATTGAGTGGTGAAGGGAGGGGGTGGATCAGGATCCCCATTAACTTTTTTTAATATTTATAATAACTTATTTATATATGTATAAAAYGGATATCATAAATTATATTTTGGATGATCATTATTATTATTATAAAATAAGCCAATAAGTGATAAACAGTTAAAAGTTATACAAAATAATATAGGAGAAATTAAAAATATAATCGTGGAATTTCAAAAAAGTTTA